ACCCAAACACCCATTCCACAAAGTTACACCCAATCTCTTCTCCCATTCAACTCAATAATCACTTCCAGCTCCAATATAAACCACTTTGTTGCACATCTGACGCAGGCTGCATATGCGGATTATTGGGTGGATACTTCCACCATGCTGTGCGCTGTATCGGGCACATTCTTGTGATGCTGAGAGTGCGCGGTGTCCTCTCAAGATCCAATCATTCCTCTTTCTGGTGACGAACAGAAAACTTGCATATGTAGTATCATGCTGTGCTCCTATTGGAAAAGCTGTAGAGAACCAATCATAGTCATACGAAATTCGTGCCTCAACCCAAAAATATCTAATCATCACCCCTCTTTACAAGAAAGCCAGATTTGTTGCACATCTAGTACGACGGGGTAAATAGAGCAGAGCCGTTGATGGAGAGTACCTATATGCAGAGGATTCTGTAGGACTAACTCTCACTCGAGGACTCACAGTGATAGGTTCCGTGGTACTATGCTATCCAGTGATCATTCCTCCATGTGATTCAGATGAATTTGTTGTATGTCTGAAAATCCGTACATATGCATTATTATTTTTGTGGCGTGTATGTAGAATGGACTGCGTATGTGGATTGTAGCCAGTGAGTTTTTCTGTACTGTTACTACGCTCTTTTGGCTAGATTCAATGAGAGTTTTTTCATGTGATTGAGATGGGTTTGGTGCATATCTAGTGGATTGGGCCAGTATATGCGTCGCAGTAAATCATCACATTATATTGAATGCCTTCTGGGCTACAGAGGCCAGATTGTTCGGTAAAATTTACTCCTGGTTTTTGTGCCCTTTGGCCTATTAGCTACCCTCCCATGTTATATGAATTCTATCTTGTACAATTGTGAAAGGGATCAATATCTGGCTGGAAGGTTGCACTACCAACAAGTCTAAAGGCACCCTTTGAGCATTCTGTTGAGTACAAAACTCCTCCGTACCACCAAAGGAACCAATCATTTCCACTCCATGTAACATCTCACACTTCGTATACAGAAACTCTACTGCATATCCTCCACCACACAACCATTCCACAGCATCATTCTCGTCCTACCCAACTTCCAACCACCCAATCCACATCCTCCACCCAACCCAGATACCCCTATTCCAAAAATCCTGCAACCAATACCCTCATCACCATGTGACCCCAAACACAAAGAATAATTTGTTGCACATCTCAAACAATGATGCCCTTCGCGGGACTTTTCTTGTGACCCATCTGGCCATTCGATCAACCAATGATTTGATTGGAATGGGGGATGTGGGTTTTTGTTGCTTGTCTGGGGACTGATACTTGCGTGATGCGGTGTTGAATGTATTGATTTATTGACTTGGGATAGAATGTACATAAAGGCGAGGACTATTGACTGTTTTCGTGTACCAATCATGATTGTTGCCTCAGAGTTGTTTGATACTGAAGTCAGATTTTCTTGGATATATCCAAGAAGCGATATTTTCTTAATCTGACAATTGCGACTATTAGTTTGTCAATGACACTCTTTAGTTCATGTACATTAGACAGAAACCAAGAGCTTAAAGATTGGGAGTTTTTTCTCTCGATGCATGTTTGTTCTATTTGACCAAGGAAATCTAGACACTACTGAGGTTCCGAGTTTCTTCGACATTCTGTTCAGTTTGGACTGATAAACGTTCTTATATATGGAGACTAGGATCTGGTTGAACTTTTAATACCTTGACCTGGCCTTGAATCTTTCCACCTGCTGTTGGTTGTGAAATCTCCTTCATCATGCCAAAATAATCTAACATAGCATCCAGTTACACGGCTTTTCACCCTAACCAACATTTCTTCGCACTTTCATATATATCGATCCCACGATATGAGCAACATCTATACTATCAAATTGCCCTGCACATCATTTTGATCAAATATGTGGATATAATTCCTTGCGAGGCAACTCGATTCCATCGACCATACTTACTAGGTATGCTTCCGATATGGAGTATAGGGTATGCAATTGACAATAAATTGTGCGGCACTGTGAACCGATCGTAATGAGGTATCGGCGGTTGGTAAATTTGGCACAGGAGAGCTAGAAAGTCGAGAGATCATACTCGTATGCCGAAGTGAAAAGGAATGACCGAATGAGATGAGTTGAAATTTCACTCGAATTTTAATCCGCCTCATTTGAGAAGAGATGCTCGAATATAAGAGCGATCGTTGGAGTCATGAGTCAAACGACTAGACGTACATAACAATAGAAGAATAGAAAATAGTTAACCGAACAGATAGAGACCTTTTGCTGCTTATGTAGGATTTGTAAGGGAAAGAAAACACTTTATTGTATTTCACCTGTTCCCAATCGACCAATCGACCAATCAACCAATCGTTCGAGTGATGAAACAATTATCAAATTCCGACTGCTGTCCCTTCACACTGCAGTAAAAATAGCAACATTACATTGACAGTCACATGCGCATCACCACACTACATAAAGCATAGCCAACCACGCAACCGCATAACCAAAGCCCATCACTAAAAACTATGCTTGAGCATGCATGAATTATAATTGGAATTTACCAAGACCGGAAAATTGGGAATATCGGATGCACTGGTGATCCCAAATTTATAATCGCAATTCCTTCCCATGACGATCCAACCAATCATATCCACATCATGTGACCATGAAGCATTTAAACATTTTGTTGCACATCTAAAAGATGGCAGCTTGTGTAACTTGTGTTGGTTGCTCTGCACGGTTAAATATCGGATGTCTCTAGCCTCCAAAACTCCACCATGTCATTTTTCTAGCCTCACAAGGGCCTCGGCTTACATACATAGACACCTAGCCACATAGCCACACAGCCACATTTTGATGCGCTCATTTCCTGCCGCAAACCTCATATATAATTTCCTTCCTCCTTCTTCACCACTCACACCCTTACCCAAAATCAACCAAACCATATTCCCACCTCTACGAAACCCCAAAACCCGAAAAATAAAAACATGGCCAACTCCCAAGTCCCCAATCTCAATTTCGGGAGTCCAATCATCTTCTTCGATTCCAATCCCGAAATGCAACAAACCTACATCGGATCCTGTTTTACCTCTTTGAAGGAAACACTCAAGACCTCCTGGACCGGCGAGGTGCGTAAATTCCACAACCCCGGAACTCTCCGAATAATATTCTGGACCCCGGAAGGCAAAGAATGCATCAAAGACTACGAATTGCACGAATACAAACTTGTGCGGGAAGCGTGGGAATCGCTATTCAAGCTGCCGGATGTGAAGCGCGCGATTGTGATGGGGTATAGCGGACAGAATCCGTATGTGAAGGATTTTGGGGAGAAGAATCCGTGGGAGGATAAGATTGAGAGGGAGAAGATGAGGCAGAGACGGAGTGAGCAGTTGCAGGGGGAGAGTAAGGAGGGGAGGAGGGGGAAGGAAATTGATATTAAGAAGGTGATTGATAAGACGGAGGAGGCGGAGGTGAAGAAGATTGCGGAGCAAATTGGAAAGGTACCGATGAAACATGAGGAGGTGTGAGGGAGCAGCGTTGAGGGAAGAGGAATTACTGTGGGGGAGGAATGTTAATATCGAGAGTTTTTATGTCATAATAGGGGTAAAGGAGTTTTCGGAACTGAAGGAGATAATGGGGAGGGAATTGGGTATGGCGTATTTGGAAATGAACACAAGCATGAGAGAGGATGAACATGATCATATGTTTGGATGATACGGTTTGAAGATAAGAGGATGGATTTTACGGAATACAAATCTCAAAAAATATTAATTGCTGAAGACGGACTGTTGTAAAGGGAATATGATATTATCATCTATCAATATTAAAATTTCAACATAAAACTAGAAGTTGAAATGATTCATCTCTCCTACATTCATTGACTCTGTTCGAACAATACCATGATCATGTGGAGGACCAAAACCAAATACCCAACAACAACAACAACAACAACCAACATTAAATATCTATCGTGACCCAGCCATGCCCATCAAGTACGAGCAAACACTTAGTATATATACATCCCCTCGTATAACCAAATTCCCCCAAAACCCGATTCTCAACAAGAGTCATTCCGACACCATTGCTCTTTCGAGTTTCCGTAGCTCTCCCCCCTCAGGATGCCACACAGGTCTGGTCACGAAAACAAAAACGACTCTCTTTCCTCGACGAATCAACCATGTGTTTGTGCCATCCATACCTCATCTGATATTTGCTTTCCTGTAAGTCTCGTAAGACCTTATCGTCTGTCAGTTCACCTAATGCTTCTTACTAACCCTACCAAATCAAGTAATTCATGACCTTGCTACAATCTCATACACCGTTTTCTTGCTAGATATACATCGATACCCGAAGTATCCAGGTTTATAGATTGAAACCACATGGTAACAAGTGAACGATTGAGATAGCAAACTCGAGGTCAATTTCGTCTCTTAGAAGTTGTTTATTGAAAAATAGATATATTCATCATAAGGAGTAGTGGTATACGCAAGTAGATAGAACTAAAAACAATAGCACCACCTCTGCCTCTCACAAAACTCATTTCCATCTACCTATTCATCCATCCAACGCATTCAAATCTCTCAAATCCTCCTCATTCTCGGTCCAGAAGGCAATCCACCCCCGCCTCTCGGTCCACTAGGTAGTCCCATTCCCGCCCTAGGCCCCCCAGGTAATCCCATACCTCTTGATCCTCCCGGTACCCCCCCCTTAATCGAAGGTCTCTGTGACAATTGTCTTGGCGGCTGCATGAACTGTGGTTCCTCCTCCCTCGCCACCGGCATCGGCATCGGCATCCCAGATCTCTCTGCCGCCATTCCTGCGAACGCCATTCTAATTTTCTCTTCCGCCTTTGCCATCTCCTCTTCTCGCGTTAGGGGTCTCTCTTCCTCCTCGTCATCGTCTTCTCCAAGGAATTCATCCGCTTGTTGTTGTCTTTGTAATCTAATCGCTTCTTCTCTTTCCATATCCATTTCCGCTTCTTGTCTTTCCTGTTGCATTCTCATCACCTCTCTTTCTTCCCGCTCTATCATATCCATTCTTTCCATTTCCAGTTGTGCATCATATCTTTGCTGTTCGGTAACACGTTCCTGTTCTTCTATTCTTCTCATCATTTCCATTTCTCTTTCATCCCTTTGTCTTTGTCTATCCATTCGTTCTTCGTAAGCTCTTCTTTCCTCTTCCTCTTCCTCCATTTGTAATCGTTCCTGCTCATCCCTCTCAGCCCTCAATCGTTCTTCTTCTCTCATTTCAGCCTCCATTCTTTCATTTCTCTCTCTTGCTTCTCGATCTCTTCTTTCATCACGTTGACGAGCTTGTTCGGCATAAATTTTTTCCTCTTCTTCTCGTTGACGCTCTTCAAATTCTTCTTCGCGAAGTTGTTCTTCATAAGCTAGTCGTTCTTCTTCTTCTAATCGCTCTTCTTCCAACTGTCGTTCAATTTCTGCTTGTCTCTCGTCTTCCTCATATTTTCTTGCTGCTTCTTCGGCAGCCAAACGTTGTTCTTCTTCCAGTCTTTCTCTCTCGGCCTTCTTCTTGATGGCTGCAATTCTTTCCTCCTCCTCTAACCTCTCCCGTTGAGCCCGTCTTTCAATCGCGGCCAGTCTCTCTTCTTCTTCAAACTTCTTGGCGGCCTCTTTCTTCGCAATTTCCGCTAATCTCTCTTCTTCCATCATTTTTCTAGCTGCCTCCTCAGCTAGCCTCTCCTGTTCTCTCTCGAAGGCTCTAATCTGTGCTGTTAATCTCTCTGCCTCTTCTTGAGCTTCCCTCTCTTCCGCTTCTCTCTTCTCCCTCTTGATTCTCGCCTGTCTCTCAACTTCCTCCCTTTCTTTCCTTAATCTCTCTTCTTCAGCTTCGGTCTCAATTCGTATCCTTTCCTGTTCCTCGTAGAAAGCCTGCATTTCTTTCGCCTCCTTAGCGATCCTCTCATCTTCTTCTTGCATTCTTCTGAAATTTTCTTCCATACTCATTCTTTCCTCTTCCATTTCTTCCTTCTCAAGTAATATTTGTTCGGCTTGTCTTTCATATTGAAGTAATTTTCTTTCAGCTTCAGCTTCAATAGCCTGTTCGGCAATTTGTGCAAATCTAGGCGAGGTAGCAAGCTTTACCATATCTTGAAAGGAACGTTTGGGACGAAGACGAAATTGAGGTGGAACGGGACTTGGTTGACCATTTATCATGGGTGAGCGTGGAATTGTGGTAACTGTTTGGGTCTTTGGGGGAAGAGGACTAGGTTGATCTTTCAAAAGAGAAGGAATTGGTCTTGTTGTCACTATAGGTGCTGGAACATTTGGAATGATTTTAGTGACTTCAGATACTACTACTGGGAATCTTGTGACTGCTTTTGATTTCCTTTTTGATAGCCTGGTACTCTGTGATGTCGTCTTTGGCAATTCGAATACCGTATTTGAAATTTCAGAAGCCGGAATAATAACTACCGGAATGGGTTCCGGCTCGTTACCAGTTGTCGGTGATCCAGATTTTCCAATCTCGCTTTTTCGTACTTCTGTCGGTTTTCGTGTAGTTGGAGCTTCTGTCGCAGGCTCCATTGAGTTCAATCCGGCCATGATATCATCCAGTGCTGAGACTGAAGCCTTCTGTTTGCGTTGATTCCTTGGCTTCCCCAACGCTGGCTTTTCAACCCCTTTCTCATTATCGACAGGTTTTGGAGTAGATGGATTGGACATAAACTCCTCACCAAAACCAGCCAAAAGATCATCTAATGCAGATATTGAAGCTTTAGTGTTACTGCGAGTGGAAGCCCGTTTTGTCGAAGACCTTGCCCCCTTGAACGATGACCGTGTTGAAATAGGTGTGTTTGGACTTATGGTGTTGGGTGTCTCGGTCATCGATTTTCGAGAAGGATCTGAGTTGGTCGGTGAAACAGGTTCTGTTGGCTGTTGCGTTTGCACTGAGATGATAGGTTTTGATTGCTGCCTAAGCTGAAGAGATCGCAAAGCATTCGTAGGTTGAGAAGGTTTGATAGGCTGCACAGGTTGCGGCGATTGGACTGGATGAGGAGGCTCAAGAGGTTCAAGAGGCTTGACAGGTTGCACAGGTTGCACAGTCTGCGGCGATTGGACTGGTTGAGGAGGCTCAAGAGGTTCAAGAGGCTTGACAGGTTGCACAGGTTGCACAGTCTGCGGCGATTGGACTGGTTGAGAAGACTCAAGAGGCTTGAGAGGCTGCACAGCTTGTGGCGACTGGGCTGGTTGAGTATTTCCTGGAGAAACAGATCTCGAACCAATCGCAGCAGCTTTTCTCTCTGTTATTAACTTTTCGATCTTGCTCAATTCGGGTACCACCTGAATCTTCATCTCCTTCACCTCTTCAGCTTTTCCCACCCTTTCCACCGGAGAATCCACTTCCCCTTTATCCTGCACAATCTTCTCTTCGATCTTTTCTTCCTTCGGCGTACCATAACCAAACATCTTTGCCATCCTTGCACCTCTACTGTTAGATTTCAACGTCGGCATTCTCGTTATAGAAGCTGTGCCCATCCCAATATTCCCCACACTCCCCAACTTTTCATCGAAACGTTTCTTCACATCTTCGGTTGGGTTTGGTGCTGAACCATCCCCCTCGCGGAGTAGAGGCTCGATAGTTTTTACATCAGAATTGGTGTTCAGTGGTACGATGGGTGTGATTATTGATTCATTCTCTTTGTCTGCGGGTGTTATCCCAGGATTCTTCTTGACATAAGAGGAAAAGTAGGCTCCCCAAGTTGCCATGATATTATTGGTACCGTTATTCTATCAATGTTTTCCTGTTCAAGGTCAGGTTGTTAGCCACTCTCTCACGACTCTCGGATAATTGAGGAACTTGCTTGTAGAATTTAGTTGTATCGTACTGTATTGTATCATGCTAAATCGTCTCGTCTCGCATTATTCATTAATTGCTTCAACATCAAGCTGTTTTTAAGTCAATCAAATTATATCTTTCAATGGTTTCCAGCACCTCAAAAAGTCAAAATAAAGTTTCCTGCACACAATCACCGTGAAGCCAAAGAAATCACGATTAAGATAAGTAGGAAAAAAGAAGACGAAAGCTGTCAGAATGCATGACGGCTGTGATGTGCATTAGTTAAATGTCTTTGGTATGTGACATCAAAATCTGTCACTGTCATGACACATGCAACGTTTGAACGTTTGGCATGAAATCACTCAAGACAATTTGGCGTGGTACGATGAGAATAGAGGGAAGCCCCAAGCGACGATGAGCGATGCGACCGACGCATGGACGAGTAACAAAAGTTTGGTAAAATTGTAAATCTCCGATATCATTCAATCTTTTTGTTTCAAGATCTGGAAAGTTCATCGACGACTATGTTGACAATGAAATTGATGGTTTGATATATGACTTGAAGGTTTTCATGCACACATGAAAATTAGTAACCTTATTTAGAAACCCCGTGCTTGTTTTTGTAGGGTGATGACTCATGAGCATATAATTAAGAGCTCTAAAGCATCTGCCCAAGACCTTCACGTCCAAACATTCATTGTCAGTGCGATGACTGAGACAAACACCCTTTCAAAACCTCAAAAGCTCTTACTTTTTCACCTCTTTGAAACTTCGACTCAGGAATGTCCGATAATTCGAGGATAAGATACACTCTTCTCCCGTCATTGAACGACGTCTGCGCAACTCCTTTAACCTTAGACTCATCCCTGCACCATCGGAGATGCATTTTGAGAGATACGTCGAGACGGGCAATAAGGTCGAATGATGAAAAGGACTGGGACGAATGGAAGGGGTCGGTCCAACCAGTAAAGTCAGGAAGAGAGATCTGTTTACCAACTCACATTACGAGATAATAGTCACGACATTTGAGAGAGACAGATTCTAACAATCCTATGGAACTTGCGACTCATCGGAAAGGTGGGCAGGTGGATAGGTGAGTACGTACGTATTCCTCCCTCTTTTGTTGTTGTCGTTTCTCAAAGCCTCTCATCATTATAACGTATCAAGACGATACAGAATTCGATGCGAAGAGGGTACAGAGGCAATACAACGCTGTCTTGTACAGGCGAAGGATTACTACATCAAAGTAATCATGGAAGTTTTCTATATCATGACAAAGTTGGGGGCTTGACACAATCGAAAAATTGCAGTTCACCGGCTTCAATCCTATTCTTCACGATAGCGTCGATGAGTTGTCAAAAAAATTTGGGGATGCGAAAAGATTACAATTATGTAATAGACATAGATCTTTCATACTCCAGCAGCTCGCATCTTTCTTCACGCAATCGTGGTTCAAATCAAATTCCATGCAAAGGTGTACTTTAGAGTATCTCCAACACAATCATGGATTTTTTTTTACATTTTCCCTTCATCACATTACTTCCTACATTTATTCTACCTCTTATATGAAGTTTCGAGTAATCATCATGGACCAGGTTGCTCCCTCACCAGACCTGACCCCTTTTCTTTTCCTCAATCTCCCGGTCAATATTCGTCAATACATCTACAAGATGCTTCTATGTACATTTGAAAATCCACCAGAAAATCTGAAAGACAATGGCTGTACACTTGTCCCAATACGAATCACTAAGCTCCAGCATGATATTTACCCTCAGATACTTCGGACTTGTCGAAAGATCAATCATGAGGCTACAGTTATCATGAGAGAAACAAATCTCTTCGTTATGGTAACTGGTGTTATAAGGTTGGACGAACCAAGGAAAGGCTTCTTCTCAAAATACATTCCCATGATCAGAATAGAAACAGAACAGCAAGAAAAAGACTTCCAGAAAGCTTGCGTAATGACTCATGAGATCTATGGATCAACAAAATCCCCAGGAATTTTAACTGATGAGCTATACAAATTTATACTGCTTCATGGTCATCTTCCACTGTTATGTGCGGCTTTGGTCGTCAGTGTAATAGAAACACTTCCCTATTGTGATAAGATGTTAGCAGTTCACATTATTATTATTCTCGAAACTTACGAAGATATATCTATGTTGTTATCCTTGTTTGAGAAGCGACAAGAGAAGCTCATTGCACCTTATCGTTCCGAGTTCAAAGGTTTCTCGGGGTTTCAATTGAAAGGAAACATAGCAGATGGGTCGAAGGACGTTGTTCTATTGGAAATTGCCCAGGCCCCTCAACTAATAAATCCGGAAGGGCCCATTCATGGTTTACAGAGTATGGAAGCAATAGGAAATGAATTCTTCGCTCTAGGAGATGTTGAAAATGCAAACCAAATCTGGTGTCCAGCTTTAATGACGATTCGACGAATCTTGACCTTGATTCAAAGAAGACTGTTGCATGAAACCCATGACCCAGAGTTTATACATCAACTCATGAACACATAGTTTGATCTTTCATCGGATCGTCTTCAATACATCATCCACGCAATGCAAATGGCCAGAATACAACAACGAAAGGCTCCGTTCCGTGTTCTATCGCGTACAGTTGAAGACCCCTTCAATATGAACAGTCATTGCAATCTAGAGGGCTGGGCGCCATTTCAGCACAAGTTGGCGGAGTTTAGATATCGAGAAGCCATCGGTTGCTGATTGACGGGAGCATCACGTGCATGCGAGACAATTGAGGAAGCTTTGAAAGCCATGCCTGATTATTCTGAGTCCTTGGAGGAGCAGAAGAGAGTTAGAGGGGTGTAGCCTTTAGGATACTGTCGGCTATCAAAACTGTGCCAGTGACCAACTCTATAGAACAGGAAATCATTGAGTTGCAATTCCGACATGTTAGTTCCATTGGCGCCTTGAGTGTGGTAACAGAGTTCTCGTGGAAGGAATAGGTGATTTCTATGGTAACTCACCCTTCTTATTAACCCATTGATTATAATTCCGGTGTTATCATGCTGATAGAGTAACTCAAAGACGTCAAGCTTATTTGTACGACAGCTTTAATTTGCAGATGATCCCGTACTATCTTTGCCACCCTCTATATGAGGAATTCTTCTTCACAGAAACGAATATTGTTTCTAAATTTGATTCTCTCACACCATCTTAATATCTCAATTACAGTCGCATTTTGATAATAAAAGGCCACGCTGCGACCATCTTCCCAAGTCTTTCTGCCATACCAAAAAGAATTACCCAATATTTATATCCTTTTCATCATTAACGACGATCTGGTTTCCAAGTTTAACCATGTCACCCAATGTGGAGTCATTCACCTCTTTGCCAGCAGTTGAGAACGTCAAGAAGCTTTTAGGATTTCAAGATCTTTCTGGTGAAATTTGCAATACAATTTACGAGCTTCTACTTTGTGATTTTGAAGAAGTGTTGGTTCCATGCCGATCTCCTGATCTAGGTTACCGATACCTTATCAGGTGGCCATCGCCAGACACCATATTCATCCTTAAATATTGAGAAAATGTCGATAAATGTACCAAGAGGGCACATATTTGATGCGAAAGAAAAACCTATTAATCAGATTTGAATGTGAAGTCGCACCATACCAGATTACCCTTGCATTTCTAGAGATCGAAGTACCTTTTCTCGTACCCGACCCATCCACTTCAAGGGACTTCAAAGGAACCGTCTTGACCCACAAGATTTGTTATAGGAAGTCTAGGTCACGTCCTCAACCAAATGCGAGCTTCATCCCATTAGCTCGTCATATTCCCGATCTGTGTCGAGCACTATCTATCATAAGATGGAGAATCAGCCTACATAACGAGCATGTCAAACACATTGTGACTCTCACCGATCCCTATGCAAAACAGATCTCTGGACTCTCTACCTTGTTCGGGTCAGTATCTGTATCTGAATTATCTTTCCCACCGAGCGAAATCGAATCTTTCTTGTCTCGAAAGCAACAAGAAGAACCCATAGCTCCTTACCCTGCCCATCTGAAAGCATTCCCTGACTTGGAGTTCAATGGTGTAATACCTAAGAATTTGCAAACAATCGCGACATCGGAATTCACATTTATGCCAGAGGTGTACAGCTATGATCAGATAGAAATATTCCGGGAACATATTGAAGAAATGATGAACCAGGGACAAATATTCCTCGATGAAGAAAGATATGTCAAAGCTACGAGGGTATGGAGCAAGTGTCAAAGATTAGAATTCAGTCAATGCTCAGGCAAACGAGGAGAACGCTTACTCGAAAGTTTGTCATTGGATTCTCTGAATAGACTCGCATTTTTACTCTTTTATGCTGCACGTTGGCGCGTGGGAATCACTTCCTACCTAATGCAAACAAAGTGGAAAGGAAACCACGAGAAGATAGTCATAGAGGGGAAATCGATGGTCAAGGAGGTGGAAAATTTCACTAGCTGGCTAACAGATCATAAAGCAAAGGTGACTTATCCATACGACACAGACAAGATTGCAAAGAGGTTTTACAACCTATCGATCATATTTCGATTGTCGGGTCAGCTGGCTTGGGCGAGCGTCCCAATTGATCTTGCTCTTGATGAAAATCCCAATGACTCGGAATTCTTGATTGCAGAGGGCAAAATTAGCTTGGCGATCTCCAAAGAAGCTAGAAGAAAGTTGATGAACGACAATCTTCTGCTTCGTTGAGACGACGCGAGATGAATTTATTACGCTAGCTTCTTCTTCTAGAGTAATCATCAGCGATGGATAATTCTTTAGTCTGATCTCGATCCGAAATCGCGCAGAAGTGGTCAAAGGGGGGAATCATCGCAAGACTTTAGCGAAACATCGAAAAGGGAAGAAAACATGAGTCTGAGATTCCCTGACTGCCTAGTTTGAATCTTTCAGATCTCTCAAACATCTCCAATCTCTCCAATCTTTTGAAACTTTTAAGTCTTTAAAGTCTTTTGATATATCCATAGCTGTATCTATATTTATTTTTGCGGTTGAAATATAACAAAATGTCATGTTTTTCAATGTAAGATGAATTATCATTGCTATGCCTGAGATGGGTGATGTGGGAAAGGCGAGGGGAGAGATGGGTATGTGGTAGTTAGGAGGTTCGGTTTATATGGTACATAAAGGTGAAGATTCCTCCTCAAGGTGAGTGCTATGATATCTCGCAATTGATATTGAGTCGTGGTGGATGAGTTTAAGCAAAGTAGTCACAATCACAATCACAACGCAAATAAGTGCTCCTCAGAATTAATAGAAAGTCTCAAATAAGATCTCGAATTTTTTATTTTTTATATTTTTTGAGGATTTTGACTGGTACAATATTGTGAGTTCTTGTTATAAGCTATAAGTATCAAGAGTGACGAATCTTCGAAACTATCGCACCAACAGAACAAAGGACACCCCAAGAACAAGTACTCACTACCCCTTTCTCCAATCCCTCACTCGCTAAACGATTCATTCTCCACCGAATTACTCGCACCACTTCTTCCACCACTAGCAATCAATTCCCTATCCCTCTGTCTCGCCTCTTCCCTCGTTCTTTGTCGACCCGATGCCTTCGTTTCAACTTCAACGCCTTGTTTCTGTCTTTGATTATCTCTATGTCTTCGAACACGTTCTCGAGCCATAGCTTTCTTTCTCTCATCTTTGGCCTGTGCTAAAACTTCTCTTTCGGCGGCTTGTAATCCTTGTTGTCTGTCCTTCTTACGTTGTCGACATCTGCGTTGTCTTTCTCGGTCCATGTATTTTCTTCGTTCGTCTTTGGCTTCTCGGGTGGTACCTATAGGTGGAATGCCAGGTCCTTCCTGCGTTGTGTTAGTATATGCACTTGGTTCTGAATCGAACACAGGATGCATATGCGCGGGCAACTTACAGGCCTTGCGGAAGTCTTTCTTCGTTTATTAGAAACACTCGCAGAAGAATCCATTTCGGCCTCTTCCGTTCCAACGGATGACTCCAAAACATCTCTTCTTCTCTTATTGTTGGCGATTGGAGGTGTATCAATAGAGGGTTCGGGTACATGTACTTGATCTGCGACTTTTGGAAGTAATGGTCTCTTGCTGCGATGGGTGTGAGTTTTTTCATTTGGGTTGTTGTTGCTATTCGATGTCTCTACCTCTTCTGCCATGATCTCAGCTTCCGATTGGTTGCTTTCTGCGTATACCTTTGGCTTTGAAGGTCTACCTCTTCCTCTTGGTTTACGAGTCGTAGAGTCGTCGACTGAAAGTTCATTCTTTACTAGTAGCTCTGCGACTTCCTCTTCTTCCATGCTGTTGCTTTCTTCGTGTGTAGTAGAAACGATAGTTTCATTTTGAACCACTGTCTTTGTGTTCTTCGCAGGTCTACCTCTTCCCCTTGTTTTGCGAGTATTTTCGACCGGAACTTCAGTATGCGCCAATGTCTCTACCTTCTCCGCCGATCCTCCCCTCTTATTGCGACCTTGTCTCGGTGGTGGAACCACGACTGCTTTACCAGTTACTGATCTTTTGGTTGACTTTGCTGCTTCTCCCGCCTCAATGTTGTCTGAACTCTCTGCCGTGACATCCTCCTCAGCTTCATCCTCTGCTTCATCTTTCGTAATTGGTTTGACCGCTTCCTCAAGCTTCTCTTTAATATTACTGATCTTCTCATTCAATGGTGTATCGAGCACCGAATCATCCTGCTCTTTCGACAATCCCGCATTTGCAGATTCTTCTCCTACATTATTGCCATTGCCGTGACGAGTCGGTGTGTCGGGATTCGATTCGATTTGGCGCAGGGATGGCGAATTGTTCACATTATCATTTTGCTGAGCCGTTCTAGGACTTTGTAGTTTTCCAATTGTATTCGATAGGAACTTCCAGACTCTTGCCGACATTTTTGTCGAGTAACTGGTGTGAGATTATATACTGTGCTGCAAGAAGTGAACTGGAAAAGAGGAAAAGAATGAAGGAAGAAATTGTGGATGATGTTAAAATAATTTTGGTCACAGTAAGTGAGTGAGTGACTAGTTTAGTGCGGCCGCAGCCGTACTCGAGAAAAAGAGTGGATTAATTAATATGCCAGGGAGCTTTAACCTTATCATCGCGTTCCAACCAATGAAGCGCGTCATTATGCAATCAATTCTACCGTTACCATAATTGATTTGAATGTATTGTCGCGAATACCGCAGACATTAATCATTATGATCATGTTGGCATTGTGGATCTTGATTGAATGCGGGTGGTATTGAATACAGTATCTCTCGTACCGTTACTATATCCTCATTCGTTACGAAGAAGCTTTTTTCCCAAACTCTTTTTCGTGACGGCAGGGTTGAAGTGACAACAAAACATGCCAACGTCACAATCCTGCAGACTACTGATGAACCTTGACTCGAGTAAGAATAGTCGATCGCCAGCTCGCCAATATGCTGATCACGGAAACGTTAGGTTAGGGCTTTTTGACTCTTCCCCGGAATTTCTAAATCTGCAATGCGTTTTACGTTTGCATCAAGCAGACACGCTTTTTTGATGAAGGGATGTGTTTAATGAGTGGAATAGATGAGTGGAATAGCATGTCGTCGGCGGTCTCTGTTAACGATTGGAATTTCGTGAAAAACAGCATTAAAAACAACATATCGATCTAATAAGTATTTCTAGTCAGTTTAACTAGAAGTAAAATCACAACAATATCAAGGAATGGTCGTGAAGATGTGTAGTCGTAGTCCACAGTCCATAGTCACCACCTGAATCACATATGGTAGCAATACTTTTCGAAGTATCTAAGCAAGCAATGTGCTTCAATCATAGTAGTCGCCACAGTCACTTCTAGTGATCCAAAATCATTCGAAACGTGTACTAAAATCAATTTGAAAGTAATGCCAAGTTTTCGCAGACTCAATCCCATCCAAGGAAGTTCTAATGACTCGATTCTGTACGGTGATTCCTAAAGTCATCATAAAACATCATGACCAAAGCACCAGCTATCTTGATATGGCCCCTTCAACCCCGAATGTACAAAAGTCCGGCCCTGGTGGCCATACGCTTTTTACATGCCACTCGCAGCTCGTCCCTCACAACGCCATTCTTCTAATTGTGAGTAACAGTATACTCGCAAACCCGTTCATTTACCACCGTCTCCGTTCATTCAGCACCGTCTATCTCCCTGGCAAATCCATTTTCGGCTCCGAGCTGTCCATCTCGCTCCAGCGAGATACGCGTATCTGGTTCTGAATTACAATAGCCATACATACCGCTACAGTTTGAGCATATCCGAGCACCGGACCACCATGTTCATCAGCATCCCAAGCCGTTACCATATCAGGTCCCCAACCATCTCGAGTTGGTCCATAAATCTCTGTTAGCTCATCATCGTCGAGGTCAATATCATGATGTCCAAAGATACCCTCGTATTCATCAAGGTTCTCTTCCGTTCGACGGGAGAGCAAGATTCTGTAGTCTTTTTCAACATTCTCAACAGGTAGTCCACTAGCAATATGGAATCGTACTTCCGATCCTTCTAATTCGCCGAATGTTGCAGGGAGTTTCTTCCAGACATATTTCTCCATGGAGCCTTTTTCTCTGAATTCTGGTAATGTTTTGGCGTAATACTTGAGTTCTGGTAAAAAGGACTCATCACATATAAATGTTTTCAAGTATTTACTTGAAACGGTGCTTATGAAGTGAGGTAAGATGCTGCAACCCCTTATTCCGCCATTTCTCATAAGATAACCCAAGCATTCATATGCCAATGACCCATTTTCCTCTAACGGCTGACCCCTAACGTGTAAATTATCAATGATTGGACCTAATGTCTCTCTTGTCATCTCCCTCAGGTCGATTTCCGGGCCAGGAAGATTGTCTGTGAAGTTCACAAGATCAATCATCATAGAAGTCAAATTTTTGAAGGCTATTGTATGCTCCCTTGGCCTAGTTTGTTGCCTGCCGTACCAGGGAAGTTGGAGTGCTTCAAGAAAATCAAGTATTTGTTTCCAGCAATAGCTTTGTAGACCTGTCCAACTAAGATTGATGCTTAGAATACGCTTTATAGGTTTCACCGCGTACCAACGTTCTTCTCGCTGGTCAAAGCCCAGTGTGACAGTTTTGTTAGAACCTTGGTCGTTATAGTATTTCCCAACAATCCGTAACTCTAGATGCTCCAACTGGGCACAGAATTTGGGGTGTGTGCTGACGAACCACTTCAAAGATGAGACTTGAGTGAAGATGAATCTGTTGTCCGCAAAGAAGGATCTCTGTCCCTCCTTGAAAAAGAATTTAGATAGTCGCAACAATTGAACAGGAAGCTTTTTTTGCTCAGCATGCTCCATCTCGGTGACGTTGGACTTCAATATCTTGACACCAGGGTCAATTATTGGATGTGCCAACTGCAAAGCAAAGCGTACAATGCGAAGCTTCACTTCGAGTGGTAGCTGGAGACTCGATCTTTTAGTTGAAGAATCTGATGCAGCGATCGTGCTCGAATTTTTGTTGCCGGGCCAGGCAATGTCGAGGGTAGACAGAAGCTTTTTGAGACTGGCGTTTTCTCCCGCAACTGCAATACTGTAATCTTCAAGTGCCTTGTTCCTTCGGCGAAGTTGGTCAATTGCGGCATCTAATGGTCGATGATTGTTGACAACCGATGGAGAATCATCTGAAGGTCCGTCCCATATAGACCTCTAGAAAGTAATCAGTAAAAATGTCTTGATGGCAATCATGGAGGATTTCTTACATCTGGATCATAAACAAACGGATCCATTGTCTCGCCAATTTTAATAAAATACAGGTAGTCTAATCTTCTCCCTAAACTTGTATCCCAAGAAGTTTTGATTGTCACTAGCAAAATTTGTGGGAGCAAAAAGTCGAAGTATTGATGATTCAAGAGCTTTTCGAAGTAGTATAATAAAAAGCAATCAGAGGTGTTACTGACATTGCACGGACCCCATCAACCTACAACCTCCACTACCCGAGCCAATTAAAGATTTCTTCCTGTGTTGCAGCCACAGACATGTCTATTGAAGTAAATGATTGTCAAAAAGTTATTCCTTCTGTTTATTGTTAGGATCTGCTGTTCAATTTCTTTCTGAACCAAAAATACAAGCTGAATCAATCTAAAGGTAGGCCTCTAAAAATGTCTCTTTCTACACAAAATAGAGTGACAAGATGTCATTATAATAGATTTTGATGATAACAAAGGCCTTGCTGATCACTTTATAGTTTATTAGATGGCTGAAGACTGATGACTATCAGCTTCTGGCCTCTGATCGTTGAGTTTTGCCTGCTTCCACTAGTAGTTCCACGGTTGGACATATCTTGAACAGATACTGGTTGACACTCTGGAAAAATGGCATTTAAGGGAATTGGGATGCTAAGATAAACCTTTCGGCAGTTTGCTTAAAGGTTCAACAGCAACAGCAAACAGATCCGGCAAGCTTCCGACTAAAGAACTGCTGCACAGGACTTTCCTCATTGGCGTACCGCAGCCAACTCACAATTGTATGGATTGATCCTCTCAACAAGGAATTATGTTCATTGAAAGGCTTTAGGCACGAGGCTTTCATCTTGTTTTGCGACTTTCTGCCGCTTATCTTTCAAAAGAGGATTCGGGGAGATGCACCACACCAACATAAAGCAAGTGCGGAATCGCGGTATCAACATAGCCATCATACCTTGGAGCAAGGAGTTACAAGGAAATATTGGAAGAGATAATCAGGCAGGATTAGTGTCATAAAACACGCAACAACTTGCAGCATATACAACGTTCCCTTCGGTTGGCTTCGACTAGGGCAGTCCAAATTTGAGAGACTTGAAAAAAAGCACAATGATCGAGTGGTCAGTTGGCCAAGTAACAAGGCATAAGGGAACTAGTCAAAGAACCAAGAAACAGAGATGAACTGAGAAAGTCTTCAACACAAGGTGTTTGGCAGCTATCATCTGGCCCGTTCCATGGGGAGGGGGGGGACTTGGGCAGCATCTCGGTTCCCCGTCATGATTTTAGAAGAAGTTCCATAATTTTGCAAAACTCTTTCAATGCTCTTACATTCATTACTAGCTCTCGGGTATCTTGGCGTGAAGCAATATCTTTGTGTGCTCACAGCTATTTGCGTACCAAAATACGAAATCTGGTGCTAAGCCCAGCGGTATCAAGCTTGGAATCATGAACACTCCTAGCGACCACTTAGCCAAGAGCATTCTATAGGCTTCGTTGATCTCCGAACGGAGTTGGCTAAGTAGCTCTGGAACAGTGAAGAGAGTCAGCATGTTGGGCAAGTTGCAATCCACCGTACTACAATTGCTAGCAAGGACGTGTCTTGTTGTTTAAATTGAAAAGGGTTGAGATTGATGAGTACTGGCACTAATTGGGATTATATCGCATGGTATCATAGAGATGTTGTAGTGCTGCGCTGTTCAAAATCTCGAAGTGATGCTCGATCAATTAGATGAGATGATGTTGCGTTGTGCAAGGTTGCCGCCACACCGTCTTCGGCAAAATTGTCACTTTTCTGACTAAGTCAGGACTTCCACCAATCATATAGTCATGCTTTTCATGTCTTCATATCACGCTCTTCGCTTCAATATTGGAATTAGTCTCTTGCAAACACATTCGTTGGGAAAATGAGAAGAAATATCATTTCAGTCCCACGCTCAATTTTTCGAGTTACTTACAATCGTCATCCGCGATTGTGAGATTTCGACTTTAGATCACGGCGAATAGCTTCTCTTGAGCCTTACCAGCTTACCAGTAATATTATACCACCATCTCAGGCTATTGATGATAAATAACTGACTTCCTGATAGATCGATACCCCATCTATTTTCTCCCATAGCACTTCCGCAATTTTCCCTTCTTCCTTCCAACAACCTTCGACATGAGGAACCTTACACCATGGGAATACATCATGGATAGCCGTCGCTTCATATTGTTTCCCGACCTACCGATTGAAATCAGAGACGACATCTGGAGATTGACTCTCGAGCCGCGCATTGTCGAAGTTAGACCGAAAGAAGACAACCAGGTTGGATTTTATTCTACTGCTCCGCTACCCGTTTTGTTGTCAGTCTGTAAAGACTCGCAGAGAGCTGTCCTATCATTGTATCCTAACTTAATTGGTGGAGCGCTCGTTGGTGCAGGAATCCGATTCAACGCCAAAATTGACACCCTTTATCTGGATTGGAAAATTCAAAAGCACTTGACAACCTTCCTGCTATCGATTGATGTGCAGGAGGCTGAAAAGATCCAATACTTGGCTATAGATCAATACATTCGGTGGGCACGTCAATGCATTGATTTGGAGTATGACTGGGAGTCAGTCCTCGCATTCATGGATCCACTGACGATTTCCGACCTTCAAAACAATTTTTTTAGACATTGTTGTCACATTGTCGTGGACCACGATATCTGCATGATTGGCCCTGAGGATCTGGAACGCCTTTGCCGCGCAGTGCGACTTTGGAAAAAATTGAAGGAACTCATATTTGTGTTTGATGACATTAATTGGAATGTAGATTTGTTGAGAGAAAGTGGAGTAAATACCCAGCAAGATGAGCTTGCTGGCTTGACACTCTTTCGGGCTGATGAGGTCTACGACCTATTCCCAAACCCAGTCGGATGGGTCCGTTCCGATTATCGCAGGTCTATTGAGTATTATAATGATGATCTGCCAATTGCTAGTCTCCACGACGAGCTCAAGAATTTCGAGAATCCAAAGTTCGAGATTTTGGTCCGATATGGATGGAGGTTCCCAGATTCGTTGTCGGTCTCTTCACGTCAACCCCGTCTCACCGAATTGGAATAAAGGTTGCTCTGGTTGAGGTGTCAGTGGTGTCTTGAAAGGGTAGTTTAGGAAGAGGTCAAAAACATTCTTCAGAAGTGCCGGATATTTGGGGGATTTATGATGATCACTACTCTCGGAAACTTGTACGAAGGGAGGGAGAGATTTTGAGTCATTGCGGATAGTATTAGGATGAAAGCGAGAGAATTTTACTTGGTTTAGTTGCTCCCATACTCACATATCAGATTGAGCGATTGAGCTGGATCATACAAAAAGTGCCAATACGGCGAAACGAATACGAAGAGTTAAATCATTTCATCATGCTTCTAATGTAACAACTCTGCCCATTGACAATTAAGTGCGTGATATCCTGGCTGATCTATACACAGCTCCCCAACGTTAAGATGTAGAAAAGCAAGCTTTGTCGAATTGCACCATAGATTCATGCAAGATTGATGTACCTTTTCTATTCCCATAGTATCCTGGTATGAATTGCACATTTTGTTTTAAAGCTCTCCTGCTTCGAATCCTAGATGCAAAGGAAACACTTCTCGCGGACCCTTACACGCATCTCCTCAACTGGTATCCAAGAGCCTGAAATTCTATGCGATTCATTGAATTAATAAAATTCGAATCCCACTATGGAGACAATATTCAAAGATGTGTATCCCATCAACAACTACTTCATATATGGCCCACATAGATAGAATCTCAATGCTGTATTCGAGACGAACACAATACTTCAGATTTATCGATTATATGATGCCGAACCACACTCGCTGACCTAGGCACCGATGTTAATGCGCACCATCATGAAACAGTCAGTCACTCCTGAATCTAGAGTTCCGTCTCTTGCCACACAGCCCATGGCTTCTAACTTTTAATACTAGATGTCCTTCCCCATCTCAAACACTTTTTGTCCTCCGCACAAACGTCTCAAACAGCATACTCTTTATGTACCCAGTCCCATAATAACCACCATAGCTAATGTGAAGGTTGGATTAGTCAAGAACAGAGTACTAATGAAAGTTGCATCAGACTCGAAACCCATTTTGCATAAGCTTCCCGTGTCGCGCATGTCTTCTCATCATGTTAACTATCACCACCTCTTATTTAACGCAACATCCCGCAAAATTAATATTACACCGGTGACAAATCGGCTCAGAACTCTCTACTCTCTATTCTCTCCCCTCACGATTCGATCTAACCCAATCTCTATTCGCATCTCCTTCCGTTGCCCCGTTCGTATCCTCATTCACCCTTATTCTTTTCTCGTCCTTCAACTCTCTCAATTCCTTTCTCCTCTCTCCCTCGTCTCTATCAATCAATCCTACGATTCCATCCCAGCTCTTTGAGCCCCATCTCCAGACCTCCGCAATGGCTCTAGCTACCCATGTTTTAGAAAATCCATTAGCCGTCTACCAACTTCCCATTCTTCAAGTATTTTCATACCATCGGAGCCGATCTCAGGTGTGGGGATGTAGAATACAGTTGTCAAGAGGCCTAGGAGCATGAATACTGAGAAGCTGCATAAAATTGTCAGCTCATGAATGTGTGGGACAGGCAGAGACAAGATGCGAATGAGACTCACATCCAAAGGGAATGTGAAAGCTAAATTGGAATACGATTGTAATCAACGTTGTGACCATAGTTGACGTGGGCAAAGAATCACTGAGCAATAACAGAATCTAATTTTCCGAAGGCTGCGGATATGCCATGGGATAGTGCACGATATCGAGTGGGGAATAGTTCTGCTGCAATCTGTACAAGTCGTTAGAGAATTGGTTGCATTCAGAGAGGCATAAATCAAGGGACTTGGAGTCACACTGACTGTATACGTGGTGGTGTTTGGACCTCTATCGTAGTTAGTGCATAGTTTGTAATGGATGAGGTGGGAGTGATTCACCGAGGTTGAAGAATATTTGACATAGGATATACAGAATGACTTAGGCTGCAGATCCGGTGAATGCGGCAGGTACAGAGAAGAAGGACAGATAAGGCCATGTACATGTGGTGCGTGCGGTTTTTATATATATGTGTATGATATAATGATATACTTATATTGGCATTCTGGGGAGGGAGAAGCGGAACGGAATGTGAGAAGAATATATGGGCATGATGGAAGAACACTTGCGATAGCTTTAGTGTTTGGGGTTTGATGATATGGCTGAAATCCACGGCAGAATGAGAAACTTGTATATACAATATACATTGTAGGTAATGAAAGTTCGGAAGTAAGAAGGATAACTGGAATGGTAAATTCATTCTTCATAATGAATATGGTAATATTAATACTCGTAGAGGAATCAATACATAATCAAAGAGAAGAGAAATCTATCCATCAACCGCTGAAATCGAAATCACAATCAGAATCAGAATTAGAAATGTCATTGAAGTCAGGACCAGAACCAGAACTCAATCATCAGAAGCATAAGCAAACCCCATTTCTCAGTCACATAACAAAAACTACTTTGATGAATTAACTTCCTTCTCGTCTCAGCGATACCCAAATTCAAATTCAAATTCATCTCGATAAAAAAATTGGGCTACTTTGTCCCTCTCCGTTTCCATCGCCCATCTACATCATAAACCCGGTCCTTTTCCCTGCCCCCTCACTATCCTCATCCACCTGCAGCCCTATCCTGTATCGAAGCGCTCTACCAGAGTACTGAAAAGTGACTCCAGCACACAGAGACGCCGTCAGTATATATATCTCCCCCCTATTCCCAGCTCCACTCTCCCCTCTTCCCCCCTCCCTCCCCAAAAGAGATGAGCATCCAAATAACCAGCACAAAGAGAACCACAATTATAAGTAAACAATACACCACCCCTCTGCGACTCTAAAACTCTCCAGGAGTCTCCACAGAAAGAAAGAAGTTTTCTTTCTTTCATCCACCAAGCCCGATCTCCAAGGATTCCCCGTCAATATTCAGTATCAATTTCCAGATTGAGGGAGCTACGAGCAAGATTGATAGAAGAAGAAAACAACATCATGACCAACGAAGCATAAAATCATAAGTTCATATGTTTTCCGATAACTTGGCCAGATAAGCAAAGCCAGATAATAGATACTTCAATAATCCCCACATAAGAAAAGCTCAAGGCATTTTTATTCCAACTCACCGAGCCCCCTCCCCCTCCAGCCACAAAACCGAGACACCATACTCTCCAAAATATCACCTACCTAGAGACTATACATCAACTCTAAGGTGCATACAGCACTCCCAATTTCACGAAGCTCATTCACAACTTTTTAATTCACAAAAATACCGAGCAATTCATGACTTGAACACATTCTCGAAGAACACAAGCCCCGATGAAAAGAAAACACATATTCGCTAAAAGGGCGAGGCTAACTAGGAGATCCCCCGCCGAAAAATCGTCTGTAGCTTTGCAGAGAGGTTTGCTTAATTGGTAGACCACGGTGAGAGCTAAGAGCACTTGGTTTGATGGATGCAAAATTGGCTAGAACAGGCTGGGGACTGTTGATAATTGGTCAAAAGAATGATAAATATTGTTCAATATTAATGTCATTGGTTTTCAATGCAGGAATTTATAAGAGGCACCATCGAAAAGACAGATTTTTAATTTCGGAGGACCTGTGTTGAGTGATTTTCAGCCCCGACACCCATGTGGAAAAAGTGATCGAGGGAAGGTTTCAAGGTTATGTAACCAAGATTTCATTGTTTGAATCTAAATAATACGCTCTAGTCATCAAACATCTTTGAAAACAATCAAATGTAGGATTCCGTGAGGGGAAGTCAGACAATACAACATTCAGATAAGAGATATGAGAAGCTGAGGTCCGCCAGAGAATTTATTGACATCCTTCCAACAGCTTGGGTGGCTTTCGACAGTATCAAGCATGCAGCAATTTTCATGCGAGTCAAATGAGTCTCATGATTCCCACTCGGGCAACAAGCAAAGTAGCTAAACTTAGTACAACGAAACACGATGATTGAATAATCGAGGTTGTGCGCTGATGAAGTGGTGTAAGAAGAGAATTTCTACGGCCCGCAGACCCCTTTGGTCATACTTCTTGTAAAAGATGAAAACAAATGATGTAGAAAGAAATTGTTCAATACCAGAAATGAAGTCGCGAAATTCAATCCACATAGTAGACTTGACCTTGCTACCCCTTCATATAAGCTTAGCCTTGACCCATTTTGGTATGGTGAGCACAGATTCCACCAACCAATTAAAGTTCGAATGACAGGCTGTTTCAAAAGAACATCCCGATGTTGTTGGAATGTATCTTGACACTGAAAGTTTCAAGGGAAAGTATAAACACGCCTTATATCAACGACTTCTCTTTCCAAGGGAACAAATGATGAATGATTCTCTTCGTAAAGTTTTAGTAATGCACCGAAAAGACGTTTATCCTCCGTTTGTGCCTATCCTTGTATGTATAACCATGCAATTCGGAAGTTATGTTTTTGGGGGGATTGCGATCTACATTGAGGGCGAAACACGTCAGTAACTATTGATAGAGGAGGTTTGAAATGAAGGTAAATCTTGTGAACATACCTCGTTGTCTTCTTGACTGTAACCTCCTTTTCAATTCGCTTCACATCTTCTCCACCAAAGAGATATTTTTGGATACTTACAGATGCCGCTATCATGAAGCTCCTCCAAAGAGCTTTTGGAAAATTCCACTTTTTGTTTGTTGTTGAACCAATTGAGGAAACACAGACATTGATAGTGAGAGTGATGCTCAGAGGAACGACACTAGTAAATTGACTAGAGTGAGACACCTTTCTCAATGTAGCTTAGTGGTTACCAAGTCAGGACAAGACGGAAATCTGGGATAGTCAGGGACCGATGGTCACGTGTAGATACCAGACCCAAGAAATCCTGCACCGGCAGTGGAGAATTTTGGTTACATTGGGGGGTTGCACAGAGCACAAATGAGGAAGCTTGAGGAAGCTTAGTGAAATCATCAATCGTGGGGAGACAGACACATTTTGATGATTATGATGGAGAAGAGTCGGGGTGGAAACAGAAGGGGAAACTTGAGAAGCGAA